CTTGATGGTTTTAATCAAACAATATATTTAATTAAAATAGGTATTAAACATCAATTATTCTAATGGTAATATAACTCATACAAAATATGTAATCCACTAATAGCTTGAATGTTTATATAAATAACTTCTATTACATATATTATTATTAAAGGAAATTTTAATGGGGAACTTTTACTGAATGGGCGTCCAGTATCTGAAGATGTCATGATAAAAATATCTGGGTTTGTTGCTCAGGAAGATATAAGTTTTGTCCAATTAACTGTTTGGGAACAACTTAAGTTGATGGTGGGTATTTTCTATGTATTTATCAAACCTATTATAATAATAAATAATGCAATAGAATACACTATTGGAAATAATATATTTTTACAGGCTAGATTAAAAATGGACCGGACTACATCCGACAAAGTAATCAAAGACCGTATAGATTATCTTGCAGCTCATTTAGGTTTGAATAAAATCTTGAACTCACGCTTGTGTTTTCTATCTGGTGGGGAACGAAAAAAAGTAGCTCTAGCTGTTCAACTCATAAATGATCCACCAATTCTATTTTGTGATGAAATAACTACAGGATTAGATAGTTACTCTGCTGCACACATAGTGAACACATTAAGAAGAGTAGCACAAAGTGGAAAAATTGTCATTTGCACTATACACCAACCTGCATCTGGTTTATTTGATCAGTTTCAAGAAGTTATACTTTTAACTAATGGACGATTAGCTTATCAAGGCTCAGTGTCTTTGGTCAATAGTTTTTTTCAAAAGTACAATCATTTATTATACAAGCAATTTTACATTAATTATTTAGTTTAAATTATTATTAGGTATGGTTACATATGTCCTGCCACCTATAACAAAGCTGATTTTATTGTATCAGTTTTGAATTCAGATAGTGTGTTGGATAAAACCAATGTCAACAACATGTGTGAACTATCTTCAAACGTGGCGCAAATGGACATTAAGTTTAATTCATTCAACAAGGATGTATGTTGGATTAATTATTTGTAAAAAACAGATAAGAAGTTGATGACTTTTTCATTTTGTTTAGAATACCTATTAGATCGTGCTTTCCTAAAAAATCTTTTTCAATTACTTATAAATTTAAATAACTAATTTTACTTATTTTTTTTTTTGTAATCTTTAGAGTATTTTTTATATTTTAATTATTTTTTGAGTTATTTTATTCTACTTTCGATTAATTGAGGAAAATTCATGAAATTACAAATCGCCAATTAAATTCAATATCTCGCAAAACTATAATTAAAACATGTTTAGTCTTACTATTTTACTCATGATGGAGCAGACCTCAATAAGAACTTTTATATGTGAAATATTTTTTTTAGTTTATTATTTAATATTTACTTTTTTTGTCTCATCAACTTCTAAGCAAGATTAATAAACTAAATTCATAATACAAATTGTAACTTTAGGTTCAGTCAGAATATGGACATCATTTACAAGCGTAAGTCTTTGTTTTGAAGTTTTTTTTTTTAATTTGTTGAGGTTTTTATTTTGGATCATAGAGAAAAGCTTGGCTGGATAATTCAAGTGTTGCTTCTGCTGTATAGATCTATCACATGTTTCATAAGAAATTACAAGGAAAAGTTATTGGAATTTGGAACGTCAATGGTAAAATTTAAATATTAATATTAATAGTATATACTGCTAAATTTATATGAATATAACAATTTATATTTTATATTATAGTTTTTAGCTGTTATTACTTCTAGTCCATATGCAAATTTACAATTCGATACAAAAGCAGTTCAAAATTGGCAAGGATTTTGGTTATGCTTAGTCATTAACATTGTGTTTCAATTCAGTTATTCGGCCATTGCTATAYATCAAATCAAGTTTTCAGTTGTACATCGAGAAGTCAGCAATAATGTATACTCTTTGAGTGCATACTACGTGTCTGAATTAATTATATTAGTATGCACTATGAATAATGTTTATTGAACTTTTAAAACTGATATAATTGTACCTATTTATTTTGTAGTATGTCTGGGTATTTATAAAGACAATACTCTTTTGCATTGTAGTTTTTTGGATTGTTGGTGTCAATTGGGTCTATATGCAATTATTAGTATTTATTATAGTAACATTTGCATCTGTTTCATATGGTAATTGTATTCAATTAATTATTCCATAACTATTTAATATTAAGTAAATTATTAATTAATGAATTATAAATTATGAAAAATCATATTATTAGCTGTACAAAAATATAATAATAATATTATTATTTCAGGAAGTCTGTTGTCAGCATACTTTAGTCGCGTAGAAGAAGCAGTTGTATTTTCAACAGTTTACGAGTACTTAGCATTGCCTCTTAGTGGTGCTTATCTATCATTCAGGTAAGTTGTAGGAATTAAGGTATAGTTCAGGGGGTGCTCCAAAAACTTGTCTAAGAAAAGGAAAGCTAAGTCATAATTAAAAAAAAACTTTTTATTGTAAACCTAATATTTTTCATGATTTTATTTTTAACAATGTATATTTTTTTAGAAATAAAAGCTTAGAGGTGTGGTCCCTAGGCTTTTCTGGAGCTGCCTCTGGTATGGTTTATCGTAATTGTTACTAAATATTATTGTATGTTATCAGGTCATTACCGAAAGTGATATACTCCCTAAGATATCTATCATTATTTTTCCTTGGTTGTGAAACAGTGTCTTCTCTGTTTTGGGAGAGAATTAAAACATTACGTAAGTATATTTAATCATTGATTGAGGATATAGTGGTGTATTTATAGGTATGGTATTTTTTTCAACATTAATCATGATAACAATTTTTATTTTAAATAAAATTATTAAGATTTAGATGCACATTAATAAAGCATTAGAATATTCAGGTGGGGAGGAGGGTACTGTGGGAACCAACCACTTCTCATGTAAATATGCCACTATTGAAAACTAAATACAGAAGATCATAATATTTAATTTAATTTTAACTTTTATAGCATGCATTGATGTTGCTAATTGTTTGGACAACGGCAAAGCCGTTTTGAATAAATACGGTTTTGTAAGCAGTGATTTATACTTTGATATAATGATATTGCTTACATTTTGTTTATTAGCAAATATATTTGGTTATTTTGGTGTACTTAAAAGAATGAAAAAACAACCAGCTTATTGAAACAAAATATTATTTTTACATCACTTTGATACCTACTTATGAAATGGTAAGTTTCATTAACAAAATTGCTTGTTATATAAACATAAAATACTATATAATATATTAATATCACATAAAGTAAAATACTGTACGCCTATTTTTTTTATTTAAAGTAGTAATATATAAATTTTTTTTTGTGACCGTTAGTAGATGGGCCATTTGTTGTATGGGTGGTACGATTGGAACACATGCTTTTATAAAGGAAAWAGGTTTATCACCAAAAACAGCCAGCAATGCCATCATACACGTTAGTGGCTGCAGCCAATCACCTCACTACGTCAGGCCAAAAATAGTAATAATTATTATAACTGATAAGATATAATTTGTTGAACCAAAAATACGGTTGAAATTAGTTAAATATTGTTTATTAGTATTATTAAACATTTAATAATAAACATTTTATTTTTTATATTAGCTATTCCATATTAACCTAGCCTGTACCTATCATCTTTAATTTAAAAATTATATTTTTGTTAAATAATTTCATTTTCATATAAATATGATAAAATCATTCTTTAATTATTGTATAGAATCTAATATTTCTGAAGTCATGTGAATGTATATATGACTATACTATTTAATTTATTATATCGTGATTAAATCTTTATAATATTGATGTCGGTTTTTGAAATTTTTTTTAGGTCAACGTTTAGATTCAAATGTTATATTAATTACCTTATTTTTATTTTTATTTTTTTATCAAATTCCACTTAAATATTTGTTATGCATAATTTTCAGTTTTAGAATAATTAGAAATTATGGTGTAGACTGTAGACTCTATAATGTAGAAAAAAGTTACTTTGTAAATTATTATCATTAAAATTGTTTTATTAATATAATATTATCTTAAATATGAATTTTAAGTTATGAATTTCTATCAAAAATAATAACGGTAGTTAAAGACTTAGTAAGTTTTATAACCTTGGCCACAGAATTATTCAATGCCATTAGATTTTAGTTTCTAAGTTTTCAGCATGTTATCAGTTTTCTACATAATAAAAAATGTTTATTTAGATTTTTTTAACACTAATATGATCAAAAAATTGAAAATTGAAGAATACTTGCATAATATTGAATCTACATTAAATCAAAAGGCATCTTAAAAATATATATGTTAGGTAAAGAAAATATTTTTAAATAAAAGTTAAATAATTTTGTTAAACTTAATTGGAATCATTGTAAATAATAACACTAGTACAGCACAATATAATTGAATTATAAAGTGAACATAATTCAAAGTATAATATTCTAACAGAAGAATTATAACATATATCTATTAAATTAAAGCATGTTATAACGAAACATGAGTATGGTAATAATAAAAAAATACAATATAACGTGAGTTTAAATATTTAATAACATAATAGTAATAATAAAACAATAATAGTTATACAATACCATGTATTTTAATATTATGTTTAAAATAACTTATAAACTATTATCAATCTCATAATTTTCCCGAGTCAATAACAAAATAAACAATATAAATAATCAAACATTCAATTAACTATTAAACAGTTTTAAAAACATAATATAATGGTTTATATGTTAGGATACACAAAAATTGATTTTTGGTTGTAAATTATTATTATATAGTATATTGAATATAAAAATATAATTGATTATGTCTTTTCTTTGTATTCAATAACATCTATAAATAAGTTATACAAATTACAATTTTTCAATAGTTGGAAACAACAAACATTTGTTTTAAAATCACAGGTTATGATTAGTATTTAAAACTTAATTACTAATTAACAATATGCAATAATTAAAATAATTAAAAAGTAGAAAAATAAGTTTTTTATTTTAACAGGGTAAAAATTTTAAATTTCTTAGGAAATTATATTAAGCTCATCAATGAATGTTTTTTGGTATCGAGGAATGAATGATTTATCAATTTTGGTTTATTACCATTTTTATAAATATAAAAGTAAAAGAGAGAAGTAGGTATGTAGTGTAAAATAATAAATAAATATGTTACCACACTACACATATAGATAATTTTTGTTTTATAAATTCATAAATAGTCAGTCTAAACTTCCCTTTAGTATAATCAGAATTTTATAAATATTGTGATAAAACATGTTTGAAGCATTCCGTATAGAGCACAATATAATAAATTAAACATTTTTAATATTTTTATATAATATATAAATATGTTAAATGACTGAACCAAGTATTTAGTTTTATGTTATAAATATTGGACTAAAAATTATTTTTCTTGATGTACCATTATTACCAGAGTAATGACAAATGTAAATAAATGTTTTAATGCTAATATGGATGAACTACTGAGTAGACTAGAGCGGGCTGTTCTCTGACTAGAATAAATGTTTCATGATTCTTATGTAATTTTTAAATAAATATAAACTATAAACAACAAATATAACAAACAATAAACAGTACTCATAAAAATGTTTTCACTTATTTTAGAGACACACTTCATAAGTGAAGATTTAAACTTATTTTACCCTACAATTACCTATTGTTTATTATGTAAAATATATTTATTATATTATTTTTGGTTAAACTTAATAACTTTTTTTTCAAATAAAACTATTTTTTTTTTGATTTTTCAATGGCATATCCATTATCCAGGAAACATGAACTTCCCTGTTTAGATGTGTGCACGTCAAGATATGCCTGTCTTGAAAATACACGATGACATGATTGACACTGGTACTTACTAATGTGCACCTTGTTATTGTGTCGCAACAACGATGTTTGGAATTTAAACGTTTTACAACATGCGGCACAATAAAAAGATTTGCGATGATATTTTTCTGTATCAACGGTTAAAGGTTGCTCAAAATTTGATGACTGGGTGTTAGTAAAATCTGATCGCCTGTGGGATACTTTTGCACGTACCTAATAAATATAAAAATGATCATTTATCTATTTTATACTGGTACAAATTATTTATAATAAAATATTATTATCAATTACTTATTGCTATGCATAATATTATGTAAACAACAGTCTAGTGCTTATAGAATTAAACATTTAAAAACATGGACAATAATAATTATGAACTAAATTCTAATTTGAGTATAGTGAGTTCATCAGCGGAGAATAATCATACTTCTATAGAATTTGGAGCTACAGTAATACCAATTTATTTAAACATTAATGACCAGAAAAATCCAGATTATAATTCTAAATGTACTGCGATGATATTAGACTTTGGTTCTACCCCACAAGATGTTGGTGAAATATACTTTAAAAATTACTATTCATACATAATTTCAATTCTAGTTATGAAAATATCAAATGCTGATTCGAAAAGGTTAAAAAAATGGTACATAGCTATAAGACAAAAGGTTGCGCACATATTTAGCAATCATATAACTTCAGTAAAAATGAGAAATTTGTTTGTAATTATCACAAATTTTAGAAATTAATGGATAATGCTCATACAGAATTTCAATCCCAAGATTATATATGCATTAAATCATCTGAAAGTGAAATAGATTGGTCAGATTTGTACAAAATGAAATTGATCTTGCGCCAACCATCGCCTAATTGGAATAATTTTGGCATAGATGATGTGAAAGTTGTTAGCAAAGTTCAGGCAGAAAATGTGTAAATACTATAAACAAACCATCAAAATATATTTTATAACAATAAAATAAATATTAAATTGATTCACTTATTTAAAAACTACATCGGTAACTTATATTAATTTAATGTTTTATTTATTCATATTTCATATTCATTAAGATTTAAAGATAACTCCTACAAATACTAGCCTTATTTTTATTAATCATTTGACGTGGAACATCTGACATAAGAGGATGTGGTGGTAAATTTAATGGATCTATAAATGATGATTCCATTTGATTTCGTTGTCTTTGGTTCAAAAGCAATGGGTGAATGTCATAACCATTCAAGTGTGGATAAAACATAGTCATGGCTGATGTTGTTTTTGAAAATGCTGTTAAATCATATGATAGTCCAGAAGTCGATGGTGATGGATCTGTGTCTGGTTGCTCCAAATCTCCATCACAAAAATCTTCAATAGAAGTTGTGCAATGTACACTTAGACCTACTGAAAATATATATTTTTCAATAAATGTTGGATTTTACAAAATGTTATAAGCACCAACTTCTTTAGTGTAAGCAAATTTAATTTAGCATAATATTATATTATTTACTGTTACCGTTACTAATTTAACCTAGACAATAATTAGGTTTTGTTGGGAAATCAACAAATTTAACTTACACCAGTTATCAAGCATCTGATTCCCAGACATWTCAGATTTGGACAAACGGGATGAGCTGTTAGGTGAACAATCTTGGCTTGAAGCCAACGACTCGCCGAGATCTGTTTCGTCGTCCATRCTAAAGACATTGATCATTGAGCATCAATAAATTTAAAGATAAATACGCTTGTAACTGTGATAAAATTAAGTATTCAATGAAGTAGACATCCTTACTAGTGATCTTGTCGTCCAATCGACACCTGTCGGGCTGTTGGGTCATTCGAAGCGGGGTTTTCGATTTAACAGACTGTTCAATGGCGGAAGTTCGACTTACTGTTTTGCGTCTTATCCATCGTTCCGCAACGTCACCGTACGGTAGGCAGTTAAGAGGCGTTGGACCCACAACAGAACTACTCAAATAACAAGAATTAATATTGTTATTATCAACTATTTGGTACATTCAAAATTTGTTGAGAAATCAGCTGCGGCTCGATTTTTATCACAGATATAAATTATATTTTAATAATAATAATAATATGTTATTGGTATTAGATAAACGGGACATTAATGCTCCATGGCACGACTGACGACTGTGACTTGTGAGGCGGTCTACGCGTTAACATAATAACATAGGACGTCGATGTAATTATTGGTTGTTATAATAATATTAATAATAATAATTGACGCGCACGTTCGGTGGACTCGTAACAATCGTCATTATCAGGAAACGAAGACGTGAACAGCAATAAAAACATTCTTAGAACGCATAATAATCTACCCATTCCCGGGCCTCTCGGCGAACCGCAAGCGACACTACAATAGTGTTTTTTAGACGGTTGAGATCGTTGATTTTTTTTTAATAAGCTTTCGTGATAAATGATAATATTGATAATAATATTGCCATTATTTAACGGAAACATAAGGTTATTCCATAGATAATGCATTGTGTATTATCCACGATGTAGAGAAGATAAGGCGACACCACTCTTGTATCTTTCAATGTTACAATATTGACGCAAAAAATCGTGACAGTTTGGTAGTTCAGAATTGATCACCAGAGTACGCTACCATTCGCACGAAGGCCGACTTTTATACGAGTCGTGATGTAAATTATTTATATTTAAATTTTATTTGTTATTCAAATGTCAACAATGTGCATGTCAATATAATACATTTTATGTTATATTGTATAGATTATTAAAATACACAATTGTTTTGGAATCGTGTACCAATTATTATGTAAAATTTTTAATAATTAAATATATGGTATTCACTATTCAGCCATATCGTACAAATATATTGATTTAAATAAAATGTATGATAATTATATATTCATTTATTAATTGATACATATATGTACAAAAATGGAATTAGTAAATAGGTACAATTCAGTACAATAGGTAAAAGGTACTGGTACTAGTGGTACTAGTTCAAACCGCTAATAAAAAGCTCAAATAGGTACTGCTACTACCTACTAACCCAAGTCCCAAGTTACCTACTTGGGCCAGTTGGGTAAAGTAGGTACACCCAAGTCCCAAATATCCAAACAAAAAAATCTTAATTATATTTATGTAGGTACCCGTATTATAATATATAAGAAAAAAAAATTAAATATTAAGTATGATGTAGAGAAGATAGATCTACAATAGAGAATTGAATATATTATCAATTAAAATAATTATATGGTAATATACATAATAATAATTAATAATACTTATAAATTGATAATATTCTCTTTTTAATTCTCATTTAGATACCTAATTGGTTATTTACTTGTACCATCTAAAGAACTTTATGAAATTATTTATCAAGTAGGTAATATAATAATATATAATAATACTTAAATATATAATAAATATAAATAAGCAAACAATTTACATAGGTTATGTATTATGTATCATTTGTATATTAATTAATAATWATTATTATTAGTTTTAGCTCGAAGATGCCATTTGCTCAATTATTGCAAAAACTAAAATACAAAAAAAATATTATTTTTAATATTAGATGAG